TAAGAAAATCACATATCTGAAGGACCATTTCACCTGTAGTCACCCAATCAACACCTATACCCTTTGCCCTTGTCCAGGCTCTGGGCACTGGACCTTAAGCCTACATGTTCTGGTACAATAGAGCTTGTAGAACATTGTTACACACTTTGAAATGCGCAAAAGCTTTGTGTGGCTAGAATATATATGGTAATTTTCTCCGTCTGATAGTGTGGAGACAGCACAAAGGTCACAACAACTACCTCATATAGTCCTACTGGTTTTAAGTTATGACCTAGATTAATTTTAAGATTAATATTATCATGTTATATTCGCTCTAAAGAGTCATCACAGAAAAAAAATATATGAAAATTAATGTCTGATCCTCTACAGTAACTTGCGAAAAGCTAAATTCTGGACAAAATGTAATCTTTATTACTTTAGATTTCAAAATAAATTAAGGAATGACAAGACTTTCACACATAAAACTTAAAAATTCTATATAGTAGCTTCATCTACCTTCAAGGTAATTTATATGAACTGACCTAATTTTCAGTTACTGGGTATTCTATAATTTCATTTTCTTCCACCAATAAATTCTCTAAAAACTAATATTCCTCTTATCTACAAAACATGTCGTTCAAAATAAAAACAAAGTTACTAACTCTAGACAAACCGAGGTGTGATTTCCTGAAAATATAGAAACAATAATCAAAATGACCCCCGCTAAACATACATTTACCAGACCTATATCGGTTCCAAGAGTTAAAATTACCCAAAGAACATTAATCAAGTAAAGTTTAATAATGTTTCAATCTCTACTGATGCATTATATATTTTAAATGGGCTAAATTCTTTCCTTGTTGAACATTATCTCTTGGACTGCATTACGAAATTGACATTTGGTAAAACAGGCGATACGAAAAGTATTTATAGCAATTAGCAATCTTTACAGCCTTTCTATTAATGAAATGTTAAAAGAATTGATAAATGAATTAAAAAATGAACCAAAATCATAATCAACGAATTAATATAATGAAAAAAATAGAAATTAATATATAAAATAAGATTACACCAAAATCATAAAAAATAAAAAAGCATCAAATAATATTATGAAAAGAAACCAACAAACACAAACTCTTGAACAATAAAAATAAAAATAAAACAATCTAATGCTATAAATATAGGCCTATGCTTTGGTCTGCATTTGCTTTCCCAACTAAACATCATACAATATGTTCCTCCAACCACAGAATAAAAACCAGTCAAAAATACCACCCACATCCATTAAAGACAACCCCATTCAACCTCCACACTCCTAAAACCCTTAAAACCCCCAAATAAACCCAAAATCTCCTTCCAACCAACACGTTTCCCCAACCCAACCCCTGACACCTGACAGACAGGCGACCGACAGCCATTTAACCCCCACACACGCCCTCCTCGAGCTTAAATCCAACCCATCCACGCCCAATTCACCCTCAGGACCCTTAGAAGGAGGAGGAAATCCCCCTTTAGGACGAGAAAGGGCGCCGTCTGCTCACCAAACAGAGATCAGCTGGTGCGAGTGAGGCCGAGCAGCCAGAGGACCTTCATGTGTTGCTTGTTGACGTAAAAAGGTAAATACGTTTTCTCTCGTGGCGGCTTCGTAGAGAATGGGGATGCGTTTAGGGTAGACTATGGTGTTTTTTTGTGAGTTTTTTTTTTTTCAATTGTGTGTGTGTGTGGTGTGGTTGGTTTGAGGTATTTTTGTTGGAGTGTTTGAGGTACGTAATGTTGTTTATTATTTTTTGGTGGTATTTGGTGTAGAGATGAGTTA